GGTCCTTGGCATCCTCCACATTGTGTTGAAGGAATGCTCCTCCCATGGCAGCATCCAGGTGACTACGGGCCATGCCAGTCAATGCATGGTAGAAACCTTAGATTAGGAGCCAATATTCTATCTCATGATGAGGACAGGCACAAATGTACTCATAGAGACGCTCCCGTGCTTCAGGAATCGTCTCATCAAACTATTGTTGGAAGTTGGAAATTTTTCCATGAAGGGCGCTGGTCATGCCCATCAAGGAAAACTTCTCGAGGAATGCATTGGCGCACTTCTCCCAAGTGGTGGCTTCATCCTTATTGGCATAAAACCATTGTTGCGCCTTTCCAAGCAGAGAGAACGGGAAAAGGCAAAGGCGGATGGCGTCTGCTGTCACACCCTTGATAGTGAAGGTGCCACACGCCTCCAAGAAGTGTGGATGGTGGGCATTGGCGTCCTCATGAGGCTTCCCACAAAACGGGTTGGCTTGCACCATGTTGATAAGCATAGGCTTAAGCTCAAAAGTGGCATCCCCCAAGTTGAATTGGGGTCCCGTGGCCACATCAGCGGATGACAGGGCTGAGAAGTCAGCGATCAACTTTTGAACCATAGATTCCTTAGGTGGTGGTGCGGGGCTTCCTTCCTGGAATGGATTCAGGTTCGAGATGAACCTTTGAGGAGGAACTTTATGACGTCTATAATTCCTCAACAATTGCTCAAGATCTTCAACGAAATTTCCCGACAATTGGAAACCGCTCATACATTGTCTTGCTTCACAATAACGAGAAACAAAGACAAGGGTAAGCCCCTACACTAATTGATAACTAATTTGATGGTAAATTCCAGATTCAATTTTATTAAAATTCCTAGGCTAATGCTTTCCCCAGCGACGGCGCTAGAAATGCTTGTTGGTATTTCTTATGTCTATTGGATAATTCCACAAGCACACAGAATATACCGCTGCAGCACTTCACCCGGGAGTATTTTAAGGTATCATTATTTATTTTTATCCCAAGGGAAAGTGGTAACTAGGAATGCTAATAAAAGAGAGATCCTTATATACCACAACTTAGTATGAACTAGTATAGGGGGTAAACAAAATATGGTAGGAAGGGATGATGATGAAACAAGCCACGATGAAGATAAATAAGATAACTAGTAAGTATAGCTAGGTGGGAGGACAACGAGAGAGTATAGGACTCCTATGTTTCTAACTCTACTCCTGTAACTTAACCAAATCACATAATCGAGACACACAGATTGATACCTCACAACAAGTATGCTAGGTGATAGGCGAGATAATAGGAGACAAAACCCCTATCCGAAGCAGATACCTTGTTACTAGAGCCCTACCTTTTAAGAACTTGTCTACAACACGTGGTGGAATGCAAAGGCTAGATAGGGCTATCACCACCTGCTAGCTAACATAAACAATCCGTGCAACAAGTGGTAACGAAAGGCAAGATCATGTATAAGCACCACGCTTACACCTTCTCTCACTACTCTAGCTGTAATTATGAGGCCAACTAGAGCACCCTGTGACAGGCGATGATCGCAATACAAGTGTGTTTCCAGGATCACAATCTAGTGTATAACAACTCTATGACTAAATAAGCTACAACAATACTATAACTATTATAATATTGCACAAGTAAAGATCAGTAAAGTCTTACAAAAGAAAGGAAAAGGTACAAGAGCTATACCAGACTCTCTAGAAGACAGCTCCGAAAGACCCGAGCAAAGCTCACTACTCAACTCTAACTCCCACTCTAGACTACACTACTAAGATAAAGTGGACCAACTACTCTTCACTTGAGCTTGTAGGCTTCTTCACCATGAATGGAGGGGGGGAGTGACCCTCTATTTATAGGTGGAGGTAGAGGGGGTGCCACGTCAGTGATCCGTGTGCTTCCTCACCATGGCCCTTGGATCCACCAACCTTGAACTGACCTTTGATCAATGGCTCATATCAAGGAGGATGCATGGAGGCATGCATAGAGGCGGTGGGTGAAATTTTAGGTCGGTTAGCTCCTTAGTGAGGTCGCCCAACCTCCAATGGTAGGTGGGCCCACTCTCCTTCTTCTAGAAGCATGTCCCACATGTAAGTGAGTGTGTATGAGGTGTGAATCATCATAGTCACATTGGGTCGATTCACTTGTGGGCCCATGAATCCATGTGACTTGATCCTCCACCCTTGAGAGAAAACACAAGTGTGATCCAAGGGTGGGGAATGACTTTGGGATGCTTCACATGGATCATGGTGACTTGGCATGGCCTGGTGGGCCCAAGTAGAGGTCAGGCGACCACTATATGGAGCTTCACAGGCTCATCTTCTTCAGTTTTGTGACATCCTACATACACATGCTCAAAGTACAAGTGGAACTCGTTATTGATAAAATATGCTCATGACATGTTATTCCCCCTTTGAAACCGAGGCTATTGACGGTGTTTTGAGTGTGTAATTTTGTGACATTTTCACCGTCAACAACCATGACCATTGAACAGACGGTTCATACGGTCAAGCGACGGTGATGTTCACCTCGACATAGACATGTCGAACGTCAAAGCGGTAGTGAAAGTGCACTGCACACAGTCAGATCATGTGCAATGCGATGGTTTTCATGACCATTACGCAGGCGGTTTGGATGCCCAACCGATGATGTTGTTCATCTCACCATAGACGTATCGGACGTGAAGGCGATGGTGAACCCGCAGTGCACACAGTTAGGTCGTGGTGCAAGGCAATGGTGATTATCATGATTACAATCGGATCATTGACCATTGTGGTGGTGTTGAGGAGCCATCACAGTCACTATCACCATCGAGTGTTTACTGCCGAGGCCGAAAAATGGCTGCGATGGGGGTTACGAAACGACCGTGATAGGTCTACATGTAGTATTGACACCTCTCTTAGTCGGTTTGGGGTTCTATTTATAGCCATAATGGATGAGCTAGCTGTTGGAAGCTTGGAACCTTTTCCTGCGTACCGTCGGATCGAGCGGGGGGCGTCAGACAATTGGGCTGTCAAGGTCTAACGCTTTGTCAGAGCTAGCTGTTTCTTACCGTTGCCGACCGTTGCCATTGCCTCTACGGTTGACACTGGGCCAGACCATCGAACTGGTCCGACGCTACCCTGTCGGACTGGGTCCAATGTTTTTTCTCCTCTCCGGAACCATTCTAGAAACTGTCAGACTGCAATTTCAATTGGTCTGATGCTACCATTGAGCAGAGTCTGATGCTCCTACTGCCTATGTGCCCTGATGAACAGTGAGCTTGTTCGGTCCGACGCTCACTCCTCCTTCGGTCCGACGCTATGCCTAACGCTACTACTGAGAATTTCACTGAATCGAACTAGTCCGACACTTTAGGGTATAACGACCCCCTAAGGGTCTGACGCCCTGCTGTCTTCTCCCTTCTTTGATTCTTCGCGTCCCTTGCGTTCGGCTTGGTTCCCATCTTCTGCCTTGGACTTGTGCATGTCTTGTAGGTCTTCAATCAAGCTTCTAATGTCTTTGCTTGTGGTGTTGACCATCCGGATGGCACTGTTTCCTAAGTCGAAGCCACCTTTGCACCTGATTGGAATACAAAATAAACACTCGCAAATTTATTAGTCCAACTTAGTAATGTTGATCATTAAATACCAAAATCCGAACTAAATGGGCCAAGGATCCAGTTTCCTTACAGAAACCAAAGGTTACTATAATTGTGTAGGGGCTTGCGTTGTGTGTAAATAGAGCTAGAGCAAAGTAGATGCTTGTAGAGATTTTTGTTATACTAATCACCTTTGCACTAGTGTTATGAAGTTTTTAGAATATTATTATAGGTTATCCATCCTCTTCTAGCTATCTAGATACTTTTAACGTCGGTAGACGAACGCAAGAGGAAGAGACTAGACTACAGATAGAAGTGGAGACCCACGTATCCTACCTTTAATTCAACGGGTAGCAGGTCACTTATCCACATCCAACCTAAATCACACGAGTGTGGATTTGGAGAATGGATTAGGATATTCAGTCTAATTTCAATGTCAAAAGGCTAATTTAGAGTAAGAACGAGTTTGATGGGATCATTCCCCATCCCATCCCTGCAAACTTGATAAAGACTAATTTTTTTTTCTGTTCTAGTCCTTGTATAGGGAGTAAATTTCTCACCGCCATCTTTTAATATGGAAATTTCCCGCGTAGAATCAGGCGGTGCCGTTACCTATTAGACTGTCTCCAACGAGGAAGACCTAAACGTGAGATTCGATTCTCGAGATTGGTCACACACAAGAGAATGGATAGGCAATGGGCAAAACTCCGTTTTTCAACCGAGGACGCAAAAAGAAGCGAGCGGCAGCCGCAGCATTGGCAGCTGGAGGAAAGAAGACGAGCTCAACTTAGCCCGGAGCTCCATCGAGGCTCACCTGGCCGGCGAGTTGGGGTGCAGCTTTTCCTGCGGCGGAGATGCGACCGTTGGGACCCGGGAGACTAGCCCAGTTCGGCTTCCGCCCGGCGCTCCCGCCCGGCGGCTCCGCCACCTGAGCAGGATGTTTAACTGGCTCGACGAGCAGCCGCGGCCCCTCCCCGTCTGCCTTTCCCGTGATAGTCTAGAATCTTGCGTTATGCCCGCTCACTTGGTTGGATCTGCTCGGGCTCTATATTTCGTTGCCCACCCGTGCCCCCGCGCTCGGCCGGCCCCGGTGACAGTCCGAATGTGGTTCGTTCCCCGAAAATTTGGGTACCGTGTTTCATCGGACGCAAAATGGTCATGCTGTGTTTGGGTAGTCCGTTGAAGGTGATTTTTCCACGTAAAAGCAGAATTGCACACTACCTAAAATACGATAGGTCACGATTTGGGTAGTCCGTTGAAGACAGTCTTACCATCTCTAGACTACCGCTCCACCTATTTCAGTTCGCACCGCACCATGTTGGCTATGACACCAACAGCCCGGTAAGCGCTAACCCTACACCCGCTAAGAAACCCCGCAGCCAATCAGCGCGTGGCATTTGATCGAGCCCTCTTGACCACTACCCAAGATGCGCCTCCGCACACGTGGCTTTCAAATGCCCCACTGCAGCCGCCTGCCCAATGGGCAGCGGCCACGCATTCTCCCTTCCCTGGACTACTCTTGGTGGGTGGAGAGAGCCGCAGAAGGCAGCTGGAGGAAAGAAGACGATAACAACTTAGCACGGGAGGAGGAAGTGGAGAGGACGGCGCGAGGCTTGGCCGTGCCGGCGAGTTGGGGTGCTTTTCCTGCGGTCGGAGATGCGACCGTTGGGACCCGGGAGACAGCGCAGTTCGGCTTCGGGTTCGGGGGCGGCTCCCGCGACGGCGGCCGCCACCTGAGCAGGATGTTTAACTGGAACGACGAGCAGCCGCAGGTGCCCCTCCCCGTCTGCCTTTCCCGTGATAGTCTAGAATCTTGCGTTATGCTTGCTCACTTGGTTGGATCTGCTCGGGCTCTATATTTCGTTGCGTCATTCCGTGCCCCACGCGCTCTAATTCACTAGGTTTTTTAGTTTGGATGTGGTTGTTCCGGAAGGGAATTTGCTGTTATCCCATACCGTTGGGGGTTAAAGTTGGGGGAGTTGGAGGTGCATGCAAGGGACTGCGAGCGGAAGCATAGAATTCTTGCTACGCAGGTCAACTGCATCCCTGCAGGCTGCAGTAGTGCGAGCCTTTTGGACACTTTCTGTGCTAACAAGCATGACTAGGGGACAATTCTGCTTTGATTGCCTCTACTTCTGAAGCGTGTAAGATTGTCTAATGCCCGGAGCAGTGCTGGAATATGGACTTGTATGTTCTATTGGAAGAAAGCTAAGGGAGTCTTTATAAGTTTCATGTCTCTTAGAATGTTCCCTCCATAGTTTGTTGGAAAAAAAAGTAGTGAACTGAGCCTGTAAATGTTTTTATGAACTTGATGGTTTTACTGATAGCTGCTGAAGTGAACTGCAAACTGGTTCTGTAGTAAATCACAATGTCAATTTTCTTATTTGCGCTACTCATTTTGGTGCATGCCACTCAGTTGGCAATGTTCTACTCTATTGATTTCAGTATTTCCTCATTAAAGGATAAATTTATTCAGGAACCTTGAATTCAGATATGCTCATATGAATTTAAGGACATAACATATTATACTGAATACTTTGGACCTTCAGCGATAATATCTAATACACTACACTTTTGCTTTGTGCTTGATTATTTCTCTGAATTTTGAATTGGACTTTCAACTCTGAACCTTGCACCATTTACCATCACATCACTAAATGCTCTCACTTCTTTTTGGATTTTAACATTCTCCTTCCAGTCTCATATTATTGTTTTGGACATGAGCATAGACTGGACTCTACTCGCTTCTGCTAGGAATTTTGATTTTATGCAGAAAATTTCAATTATATTTTAGATTTGGTCTATTTTTCAACTTGATCTTGTAACATAAGATATCGAAATTTATGTGATCCTTTAAAGAAATTTGGATAGAAGGGCGAGCCTGGTGCAAGCGGTAGAGTCTTACCGCCTGTGACCGGAAGGTCCCAGGTTCGAGTCGCGGTCTCCTCGTATTGTACAGGCGAGGGTAAGGCTTGCCACTAACACCCTTCCCTAGACCCCGCACAGAGCGGGAGCTCTCTGCACTGGGTACGCCCTTTAAAGAAATTTGGATGAATGTGCACTTGTTAGGTTCCCATCGGATGAATATAGATAATTTTAATTCCTTTTCTCTTTTATTGTTGGAGATTGATCACAGCCCTGGCCTGGGGGGGCAGCGCCAGGCACGTCCATCCAACCCCAGGCATCAAGAATCTGATGCCTGGGATGGATGCGTGCCAGGCAGGTTTCTCAGAGATCTAAGCAAACAAGCTGGTATGCCCATTTTTTTATTATTTGTTTCCTTTTGGAATGCAGGTAGGGGATGCAATATGGGCTGAGTTCAATGAGAGTGAGGACCATATTGTGCCTTATCCTAAAGGTGCAGAAGATAGTACGACTCGCAAGAACAATGAGGAAGAGGTGGCTAGTATTGCTGGCATCACTGAACATTCTGCAGGTGTTCAAACTGGACTTCAAGGGATGGAAAAGCAGACTGCAAATCAGACAAGTGCACATTTTTCAGCCACACGAATTGACATGGAATCCTGGCCTGACCTTCCTTCCCTGAATCCTACACTTGATAGAAACTATAGTGATGACAACACAGCATCCACATATCTGGATTTCAGTGCTGAACCCAGTTTACAGAAAGTGACAGGAAAAGCTACAGGTTCATTTCTTCTTTCAGCATGCTGCATTGCCAAATGTTTATTGTATTTCTGCTTCAGTTTGAAAACTTCTAGTCCAACAGATATACCTAAAAAAAATCATGCAATTATGAAAAATAAGATGATACTCAGTTACATAGCTTTTGTTGATCTGTATACAGGGAAACTAGATGGTGAATCAGAAGTGTTCGGTAATGATCAAGAAGAAAAGAGTAACAGTTTCCTTGATTGCGACTGGGGCAATATTGGAGATTTTGATGATTTTGACCGTCTATTTAGGTACGATTGGAAACTCAAAACTTTTTACTCAACTCATGAGTTGAATTTGCAGTCATTGATTCTTTCATGGCTGGATAGTACTATCTATTTCGTAGTCTTATCAAGTGATAATTTTTGCAGCAATAGTGATTCCATATTTGGTAATGAGATAGTTGCCAACGACAGCGATTTTCTTTCTGCATCTTCGAATTTGATGGATAATGCTGTGCAATCAATCCCAATTCCGGTTTGTGAACATAGAACTTTGATTTTTTGCTGTTTTTTTCCACATTCTTCTCACTGTGATTTGTTTGTTTCTGTTAAAAAGCAACTACCATTGAATAAACAACCATCATGTGATCGTGGGCCTTCTTTGCTTCTGACTAACGAAATTTCCAGTGGTGTTACCAAACAAGAAAATAAGGTACACAAAAAAAATGCATTTACATATGTTCCTATGTTTAGAATTATTTCTTGGCTACTATGGTTATCCACTTTTGGCAGGTAGCAAATGCTAATGCTAAATCTGGAGAGGAAGCTGAGATTAAAATTCATCTGACTTGTGAATATTCTGGGAAACCAAATCAGTTCTTCCAGGAAGTAGAATTCATGTGATATACTCTGCCAAACTCTTTACGAATGAGATCACTTCTGAGCTTGTTTGCTTCAAACTGAAGCACCAATTGATATGCTGATGTTTCTCATCTGGATTGATGTCATAAAACAAAATGGCATTTAAAGATGGGACAATTGCAGTGCGAATCTGTCAACAAACTGTTTCTGACAAAACTTTAGATCTTTTGAGAAAATCTTGTCATAATAATGTGATATCTCATATTTGTCAGCTATACTCCAGTTGGTTCTCTCAAGTCGATTATAAAAAAGTTTTTGGTGCACTCAAGTACATTAAGCACAAAGTAAAGCTTTTATTAGCAAAATGAGCTCAAAATATGTCCTGTCAATCTTCTTTGTTATCTCTTCCGAAACCTAGCTTTAGAGCCTCTGGTTAATCTGCCCACTTGATTGCCACTTTTTAGCATCTGATTTGAGGGGGTGATTTTAGTTCAATGATAAATTAACCACTCCGTGTAGGTCGAAGTGCAGAAGAGGCCAGTGAGGTCACGCAGAAAACCAGAGGAAAGAGGTAAAAGTAAAATATCCAGCAGTACAAGTGGCTTCTGCCAGAGCAAAGTAGAGAATCCATCGACGAATTTGCAAGCTCCTATGCAACCTGTACAAACTCCTCAATATGCACTGTTCCAGGATAGCAAGAAGATAGGACAAGTTCAGCATGCTAATCAGTTTATGTTTCCTGGATATGGGTATCCTGCGTATCCATTTCCTACCATTCCGTTAGTGTCAAACATTCAAGCTGAAGGCTATCAGACAAAACCAACTGGCACAAGCTACCGAACTTTGGAAGATTCCCGAAAACAGTCAAGTTCCATAGAAATGTCACAAGACATTCCATCAAGACCAGTGACAATGACACCACAAGAAAAGATAGAAAAGCTTAGGCGCCGGCAGCAAATGCAAGCACTGATAGCTATTCAGCAACAGCAGCAACAGTTTGGTCAAGAGGGTTCTGGCAGTGACACAATGGTGTCTCAAGCATACTCCCCTAGGAACAAAAATCCGGATTCCTTAGGGAGTTCAATTGTCATAGATGAAAATGCAAATAAGGTTTTTTCGCCTGAGATGATTCCAACTAACCATGACCTGGTTCACAAGAGTTCTGCAATTTCAGATGATCCCTTTATAGAGGAAAAAATATATTATCAGCTACAAGATGCTCTTGGCAAGGCAATTTGTTAACCCGTTCGATTTCATTGATTCTTCATATGTTTACTGATAGTATTATTGAGTTGCTGGGGATGTGCAATAGAAAAGTTAACTTTTTTAATCCTTCTGACACAGTTGGATACCAAAACTCGACTATGCATTCGAGATAGTTTGCTTCGTTTGGCCTATAGTGCAGCAGAGAGACAAATTGATGGTGATAGGAGCAGCACTAACAAGACTAATAAAGATGAAGATGAAGCTTCCGAAAATGATGCATCTACTAGGAGAACAAGGTAGAGTACACTAAAAATGGGTTTATTAACGTGTTCCTGTATTACTATCAGGTAATTGATATTATGCAATGTAAAGTCACCCAGTGACCTCAAATCATTTCTTATTTATCATCTATGCAACATCGGACCAGACTTTTTATGTGCGCTTCTCATGGATTAGTTTGTATTCCAGTGTTTTAATCACTGAAAGCATTCAGAATGGCTCAGTTTATATATTATGATCTCAGGTCTCCAACTAAGGAAGCAGAAACGACCACTAATCCAATTGATCGAATAGTGGCCCATTTGCTGTTTCATAGACATTGCTCCAAGGTTGCAACAGCAACAAAAGAGGAAATCATATGCTCAACCCCCTTGATACTAGAACCTGGTGAGTTGCCTATATGCATCTAAATAGCATGTTACCATATATGCTCGCGCAATCAACACATAGTAACCCTTTTGCAAATTTCAGAATGTGCAGAACCGAAGGTACCCTTGGGAACTCCTAGGGTGCCATCAGAAGATCAACGAGATGAGCAAGAAATTGTATTGCAGCCGTCACAATAATGTGAGATGTGCTAGAAGATAAGGTTTTACTCAATTTGAGTAAGATTATTTGCATTTAGTTAGCCTGTGAATCTAATGTCGTCCTTCTAATGAGCATACAGATGCTGATTTTATCAACTGTTCAGAATCAAAATGATAGCAAATCCAGTGATGATGGCAATCTGCTGATCACCTGTGGCTCCGGAGATCCCTTCTGTAATATGTAACCATTTCAGCATTGTAGCATCCTTTTTTTTCATCCTGTAAGAACATCTCAGACTGTATTGGAACCTGCGATTGTGTGTCGAGCCCTAAAAAGAGCAAAACTTGGCTCTGGACATCATTATGATTAACTCAATGTATGTCCTATCCACCCATTTCCTCTTAAGAGAAGTCCTTTTTTCTCTTGCGTAACCACCTTAGGCTCTGTTTGGATCCATGGGACTAAAGTTTAGCCCATCTCTTTTAGTCATATTTTAGCCTTCATTGATCCAAACAGGAGGGCTAAAAAGTGGAACTAAACTTTAGTCCACCTCTTCTTCATTAGCCCCTCCAAGATGGGTTAAAGAGGGCTAAAAGTGGTCCCTTCATATCAAAAGACGCATATTGCCTCCACCCACCCTCTCTTAGTCCTGTGCATGAGTATTGATGGCACATAAACTCAAATGTCTCTGAAGAGTGAAGAGTGAAATCCATAAAGCAGTATTATCGTCCTTGGCGTACATTTTCCGAGTGGTGTGAAAATTGTGAATGATTTTTCAAAGAACAATGGGTTGTCATTGTAGGGGTAGCGTGACAGTTGTGTCATTGTGTGGAGTTTTGTTAAGCCGACCATCCGGCATGGGGAAGATATTCTTTTGGTTTTCAATATTCAGCATGTTTGTTTCGGTTTATTCGCTCGTATCTGGCTTATAATCCACGACTTAAACAGTGTTTTTCTCTCACACCAAACCAGTCAATAGCACTTTTAACCATAGTTTATAAGCCAATTCAGCCACAGACCGATTACTATTGATGTGAATTTTACGGTTAATCTATACCGCGCTCGGGTGATTCTCGAGCTCGTCTCACTCGATCTGGCGGCCGTCGGATGTGCGCGGTCAATGGAGGGGATGCGCTCGCGCAGCAAGCTATGGGGCACAGTGGGTAGCATGGTCGCTGTTCTCCTTTTTTCTCGTGCTCCACGCCGGCCATTTGCTGTTTTCTCATGCTCCACGTCACCCATCTCCTTGATTCCCTGAACGTCTTGATACTGCGGGGGACCACAGGCTGCCCACCCTACCGTCTGCATGGAGCCGTGCATCCAGATTCATTTTGGGCAGATTTCATCTCGTGGAACCATATTTTACTATATTTTTTTAGCGTAGATTCTATATTCAATTAGTGTAAATTGATTATTTGTAAATAAGAATGGTCAAAAATACTTGAACAGTTATCTGATTTTTTAGCTTTTTTTATTTTCTGTATGGTTTATTTGGTTTCTCTTTGAAATTTTCTAATTTGGCTTTCATAGAATAGAAATAATCTGGCTAATATTCCAATTTGGCTTTTTCTTTATTTTCTGTATGTTTTATTTGATTCCTCTTTCAAATTTTTCAATTTGGCTTTCATAGAAATAATCTGGATAATATTTTTGTTTTTTGTTTAATATTTTTGTATTATTTTGATAATTTTCTTGTTTTATTTGATCGGGAGTGTTGGTTCGATTAGGAACAGTTGATTTTTTTTAATCGATTGTCCAGCTGCTATTAAAGAATAGAGTGTTCCATCGGTTAGAATCACTCGATTTTGATTGGGTTCCGCGATCGACTGTTTCGCTGGGCCTGCAACACCCGGGTGCCGGCGGGGCCATAAGGAAGGGGTGATTTGTTTCTCTTCTTCTATCGGATATTTGATATATGTATGGAGTATTAAATATAGACTAATTATGAAACTAATTGCACAACTTACGACTAATTTGTTAGACGGATCTTTTAAGCCTAATTAGTCCATGATTTGACAATGTCGTGCTATATTAAATATGTGCTAATGACGGATTAATCAGGCTTAATAAATTTGTCTCGTGGAGTACCGACGGATTCTGTAATTTGTTTTTTTATTAGTATCCGAACATCCCATACGACACCCTCACATGACACCTCCTAAATTTTAGTCACCGGATCCAAACACCCCCTAAGGTAGACAACCCCGAATTTTACGGGAAATCTGTGTCACTCGGGTGATTTTAGTGTTTGGGTCACTCGATTTTTTTAGCCATTGGATCGGCGCTGTCAACGGATGTGATTATATACTGGTAAAGCGCAAGCGGTCACCGCCCAGGGTGGCAGCTGGCCGCGATCTTCCCGGGACCTTGCGTGGCCATTGACTCTGTTCGCTGGTTGGTTTATGAGCTAATAAGTCCGACTGGTATTGGTTTATTATGAGAGGAAAATATTGTTGGTTGGCTGATAAGCTCTAGCGGAAACCAACAAGCGAACAGGCTGAATGCTACGAGCCTGCTGCAGGTGCAGGACGTGTTGTGCTGACGCGAGCTTCCTGCAGGTGCAGGTGCAGAACCTGCTAAGACTATCTCCAACAACCTATGCACAAGGCTACCCAAACAAAAAATGCATGATGTACAGTAGAAAATCCCTCCAACAGAATAGGCAAAGCAACTACCTATTTTACGTACAAGGAGAGAGGGAACCCAAAAAAGTGTCGTTCTCTCTCCACGACCCAAATCCATCTCCGACACGCCGCTCGTCGGGCCGAGGAGAAGATGGCGGGGGACGCTCGCGCCGCCGGCGTGCCAGTTGGCCACCGCATCTCCAGTCGGCCACGGCTGGCCCACACTCCCGCTGCAACGATTCCGGCACCACCCGCACTATGGGTGTCGGCGTCAGCGCTGGGACGACCATGAGCCCAGCCACCGAGACAGCGGTGGCGGCGGCCACCATGGTGTGGTGCTGGTGGAGGGGAGGAGCCACGACCGCCGAGGAGTCGCGCCCGCCACCGGGGGAGTAGGTGGAGCCGCCGGAGAAGAGCAGCGGAGGGGGAGCGCGCAGTGTGGGCGGGCAGGGAGGCTGCTGGCGCCGAGAGGAGGAAGAGCGCGCAGTGCGCACGTCTGAACGCGAGCGCGCGGCGCAGCGTGGGGCGGAGGAGGACGGCGGGGGAGGGGGGCCGCGGCTTTTCGTCGAGGGGTGGGGGGGGATTGTGTTCTCCTTTCTCTTCACTGTTTGAGAAGGGTAAGTTTTGGATGGGGATGCTTTCACTGTGTATGACCCAAAGGTGTCGTATTTTTTGTGATGTTGTCGGAGATAGTCTAACGCGAGCCTGCTACATGCTGGTGCAGTGCATGCTGCTTCGCGTCACATCACCTCGGGCGCACGCATGTCGTTGGGAAATACGCAGTAGTAGTTACATGTTGGCCCTTTCGCTTTCGCTGAAAAAAAAAAAAAGATGAAACACTGTTCCGGCTGATTTATTGTGAAAGAAAAATACTGTTTCGGCTAAAAAGACAAGCCGAAAAGTACGAATTATAAGATAAGCGAACACACTGTTATTGAACCATAATTTACTATTCCATTTTAGACGTAAGTTATATGTTCAATTCGTGTAAAAGTGAGAATGGTTAGAATCACTCAGAGTTATCTTCTAATTTGACTTCTATAGAACTGATTTGTTATTTTTTATTTTATTTTTATAATTTGTTTTTTTTCTGTTCTATTTGAAAATCTTCTAATTTATCTTTCATAGAACTGATCTGCTAATTTTTATTTGTAATTTGTCTATATTATATGTTTTCTTTTTGATTTATTAAATTCCTGTTATTTTGTTTTTTATCTGGTCCCTTAGATATCTATCTTGTGGTGTTTTCAATTCGGCTGATTGATGGCATCAAATCACTCGATTCTGTGTGCTTTGCAAAATCGAGTGATTTTTTGCCTTGGCCCACTCGGGTGTCACGATGCCAGAAATCACCTGAGTTTTGAGTAGACAGACCCGAATTTTAAGCGTTCTATTTTACTGCAGTTGCGATTGATGGGAAAGATCTCTCCTTCGCTATGGAAGTGTCATCCAATAATTCCTAGAACGAGAACGCTGCTACGGATTGCGTTAACCCAAGTCCAAAGACGGATATAAAATAGAGAGAACCAAATTTCTCTCTGTCCCTTTTTTCTCTCTCTCGTTTATTTATTTGACCACTTGTTAATTGTTATGTACGAGTACGTAGTACGGGGCAGGGTACGGGGCATGTACAAATGTTACTCAGATCACCCTTTGTATATGTTCTAGTAGGAGTATTTAAGTTACAATATTCACTACGTATGTCACAAAAATAAAATAAAATAAAGAATCAATTGAAATATCCCCCTTCACACCCACGCTTCAATCAAATCAATGGTATAATATCCTGTGTTCCACCACCAATCCCGCACGGTGGCGCTGCCTCTGCTGCGCCCAGTGGCCATACGCCTCGCGCAACCGGCGGCGGAACCGTGCCATGTCCAGCCGCACCTTCTGGCCATCCAGATAAACCTGCTTGGTGACCTGCCACCCCTTGGCGTTCACGGTATCCGGGTCAGTCAGCACCGGGTCGTCGTTGGCGTACTGCCCGTAAAGAGCTCTCGGACGGCAGGATTTTGTACGGCATGTAGCGTAGGCCCAGCCGCCGGGCAGGCTCGCCGTAGTACGTCTCGGCGGCCCAGTCGGTGCCAAGCGGCACCACCTGAATGAACACCGAGCCCGGTCGCATCAACAGGAAGTGCGTCATGGCCGCGCCGTGCACGCCCACCATGACGTCCGAGGCGTTCAGGGCGCGGTACATCTTGGCGAGCTCCGTGTCCTGGCGTGGCTGGAGCACGGCGACGCGGAACCCGGCGCCGGCAGCGGCGCGCACCAGCTCAGCCTCGTTCTCGATCGCACGCGACCCGTTCCGAGAGATGATCGTGAGCCGAGGCTTGTCACCCTCATCTGTCTTGGTGCGCCGGCTCCGCTTGCTTGATCGATGACGTTGCTGTCTCCTCGCAGCAGCAGCTTCTTTCTCCTCCTCCTTGACGATCGTCTGGATGCGACCACGGTGAGCGTCGTCGAGCATCTGGCGGAAATCCTGGATCGTCTGGCATCCGCACGGCGTCAGTGGCAAGCTCGTCGTGGATGCGAAGCCCAACGACGGCCTCGGGGAAGCAGTGCGTGCGGCGGTCGTTGGTGAAATCGATGGGCGGGTGGTCGGAGAGCTGCTCAACGATGTGGCCGTACTTGGTCATCCACCAGTCGTGGTACTCGAGCATGACGAAGACCACCTTCTTGTTGTAGTTGCGCGTGGTGATGTAGAGCGGGATGATGCCGTCGTTGAACTCGTGGTACACGTTGCCCGTGTAGCCGCCGGTGGAGAAGACGACGGCGGGGACGTCGTGGCGGACATCGCAGGGCGCGGCGGCGTCTCCCTCGGGCGCGGAGCGGAGGCGGAGCTCGTCGATGGTGCTCATGATGCTGGACTCCCACTTGCGCGTGTATGGGCGGATGCGCTCGTCGGTGGCCGGTCGAGACGAGTTGGAGTTGGGCGGCAGCAGCACGAAGAGCGAGTGGGAGGCGGCTTGGGTGCGGACGTCCCCGCGCATGACGCAGACGTCGGTGCGGAGCGCGGTGCGGTCGCAGCAGAGGGTGCCGTTGGCCACATCGGCGCACGGCGGAGCCGGTCCCTCGTCGTCGTGCCGCGCCCTCCTCCCTAACTGCAGCAGCTCATCCATGATGGCGGAGACGGGGCTGCCCGGAAGCAGCAGGAGGAGGCAGGATACGAGCGTGAAGCCAGCAAGCATGCGGAGCAGCGCATCGTGGCCGTGCTTCCGGTGTTGACAGGCGTAGTCTGCCAGGCGGCCCCGGAGCTCCTTCATCTTGACGCCGCCTGACTCTTCCGCCGGCAGCGGAAGCGGATCCTCTGCCGCCGCCTCGCCCTTCTGTGGACTGTGGTGGTGGATCATCTCAAGTCTCAACTCACAGTCGGGTTTTGGGTTTGGGTGAGGGGGCCGCGGGCGTGGTGTTCGAGCCTTAAAGGATCAGTAGTCAGCAGGAAAACAGAGCCAGAAGAACCCAAGAAGCACAGGGACGCGCGTAGACGAAAGCAGAGTAGAGAGAGAGTCGTGGACAGCGTAGCACGCGAAAAGCAGAGTAAGAAGAGTCGTGGGCCGCGACCCCGTAGGTTCGCGTCGACTCGCGTCTTCTTAAACATGGCGTGGTGGGTGGCGGAACCAAAAACCGCGTGGCTTGCCAACACGACGGAAGGCTGCGCCGCTGATGCTGACCGAACGGACCCTGCTGGAGATGCAACGCGGCAGCGCAGCGGGCGGGTGGTGGTGGCAGTGGCACCGAACGACCCAACCTGGAGCGTGGCGCGGTTGGTGGCGGCGGCAGCCTGCTTTCTTTGGTGCCGCTTGCGGGTCTCGGGAGGAATAGTATCCCAGGCGCAGGCAAGCCAGAAGGTTTCTTTGCGCGTTTTAGCGGAGGTCGCAGCTCAGGCATGCTCTAGTTCCTCCCTAAAAAATTACTCTATCTCATCAAATATTTAAACACGTATGTGTAGTATTAAATATAGATTAAAAAATAACTAATTACATAGTTTACGACTAATTTGCGAGACGAATCTTTTAAGCATAATTAGTCTACGATTTGACAATATAGTGCTACAGTAACACATGTGTTAATGACGGTTAATTAGGCTTAATAAATTCATTTTGCGGATTACTTACGTATTCTGTAATTTATTTTTTAATTAGTATTCGAATACCCCATACAATATCTCATGTGATATCCGTCCTATAACTTTATACCCTGGATTTAAATAATGTCTTATTGGTATAGGGAAGCTTGGTGGTATACTAGTGGTATCTAACTGTACACGGGTGTTTTCTTCTTGGTGACCGCAGGCTGCAGTGGGGTCATGAGTGCTCTGGATTACGCGGCCTACATGGCTACATGTGATTGATCCGATCCTTCCGTTGGGAGAGGATGTGAATACGTGATATCAAGCAACCGAACGAACAGAATCACCATCCGTCCATCCATGATGCATGATTAGTTTTTTTTAAAAAAAAAGCTGATTAGTTTTAGTTACCCCCTGCAGGCTCCAGCAGCCCAGCGCTCCTAACCTTTTTTCCCTGTTCGGATGGGCAAGTTCCCCTGCTTCTTTTTGCCAAGGGTGGCAAGGTCCCTCTACATTCCTCGTGGTCTTTTTTTTTTAAACCAATATGGAAGACTTTATTAGTTCAGGATTGTTACATTGATCAAGAGATCTAGTCCTCGTGGTCTTTCTTTGATGTATCTATGGAAAAAGAACACAAGTTCGTCTTTTCTATAAAAATTCTTTCCTTTTGATTTCTACATAGACTACTAAAATTTCCTGATATTTGAGTAGTATTTATTTTGCCAACAATTTTTTTGAGGCGCTATCAGCATTTACAAGCAAAAAGCTTACGAATAGTACCATGCCCTCAGCGTTCACAAAACAATGTAATTATAGAATTTGTGTCGATCAAACTAGCTTAAGTTTGATCATTTATAGTAAATAATATTAGTATTTAAGTCTTTAAATAAATATATTATAAAAATATATTCTATAACTAATCTAATGATACTTATTTTGTATCATGAATGTTAGTATTTTTTATATAATTTTTTTTGTCAAAGTTCAAATTGTTTGATTCCTCGAAAACTAAGAATTGCATTATTTTGTAGACGGAGAGAGTAGAAAATAGTTTTGGAGTTGCATACACCTGGTAGCGCTGTAGGAAGAAATTGAAGTGAGCACAACCTTTAGCTATTAGAGTGAACAGTGTATCTGAAATTCGATTATATTGTATCATTGACTAAAATACTGGATGGATACATGTGACCGGTATGCTATGAACCGCTTCGCATCCGGATAGTATGGGCAGCGTCGCTTGGAACAGCGGCTTGTCGGACTTGTCAATAACAACCAATAAGGAGGAATATATATCTCCTATCCCCTGCTTTCCAAATTCGACCCAGGAGTGTGCCTTCTGGATGGGGACAAGAAAACGTCACTACACCACGACCTTTAAACAACGACTGATTTGGAGTTACTGAAAGAGGTATACAGTGGTGGACAGTCAGTTGCTAAAGGTTATAGCGACCACGACCTTTAAACAACGACTGATTTGGAGTTACTGAAAGAGGTGTACAGTGGTGGACAGTCAGTTGCTAAAGGTTATAGCGACGGATCCCTATAATTGCTAATGAAGCCATCATTATATGTAAACAGCGACGGACATCATCTTTAGCAACGGACAGTTTGACTGTCCAACCTTTAGCAACCGACTACATGTTAGAGCTTTTAGCGACCAACAGTCCAATGCTATAATAATTTTTAGCGACTTAAGAGTTCGACGTGCTCAATTGTAAACAGATATAAAAATTAAAAGCTGGTCTGAAAACATTAGCCATACATTGATTCATGTACACAAAAGGGATGACATTCAAAAGTGATCACATTATCCATACATTGATTCATGTATCGAACAAGTACATTATACATGTAATGTCACTTAACATCAAACTAGTCCTTGTTTGAAGTATCTGATGATCAAAAGCAAGGCTAATCCTACTTGATGATCAAAAGTTTAGCATAGCGCATGTCCATGAAAACCAACAAACATTGGGCAAAAGCTCAAAATCCACAACCATACAACCATTAGGTCATGACCAATGAATCGGTTGGTTGCACATCCATTAGTACTATGATCGGCTTGCAAGCTGGTAGCAGCATCCACAAGTTCCTGAAAAAAAAATGAAAGAATGAGTAGTCTAATGAAGTACAAGTTCTAATGTACAACTTATAAGGAAGTGAGAAGAACAGTTTCACGAATATAAATCACATTCAGTTTTGCCTCCAAAAATGAAACGTCCCGTGCTTACCCCTTAGCTGTTTGTGTTTTATTTTCACCATTCAAGACTTCACTACTTGAGTTTATTGTTTCTCAGACTTTTTAGTGTTTTGATGACAGGCTCAGAGCAGACAACAAAGATAATGATTCAACAAGACAAGCTGATAAGCTATCCCTGTTCAATCCACACATCTAATGCTTGTAAATTCAACTTGTAGATCAATAAATTTAATTTGAACAGTAATGGATCGAGGAAGGGAGTAGCACTTGCCTGGCGTTGGCTGACTTGAATCACCACTGCCATCCTTTTGACAGTGCCACCATCCTTGTTAGAATAGAACTAGAATTTAATCCTACTGACAAAAAGAAAAAATCAAGGATTATAACTGAAAGATCCATTTATAAAAACCGATATCTGATCACATCATGAACCACGAAGGAACCAAGTTTACTTATCCTACAGTCAAGAGTAACATTTGTTTGACTCACTTTCCCAAACAATAGGACAAAATGTTCAAAAACAATTGATTCATTCATCTTCACTATGAGTGGAATGGCATCGACAGAACCGGTTGTAACCGCTAGTCCAGCACTTATTTTAAGGTAGGCATGAAGATGGTCAGGCAAGAATGAGAATTGTTTCAATGAGCCCAAGACATTGTAATGCTATCTGATTCTCGGCTGCATGGAATAATTGTTTCAGCTAAATAAACATTCAGATGCATATCTTAATTGTGTTCCAGCTAGGAAAATACACAAAGTCATTTGTGGTGTTGTCCTGTACGTACAAATAGAATATATCTAGATCAAATCACTTCTTGTCCACTGATAACAACAAAAATAATCAATTTCCAGTAGTCAATGCAAGTGGATGTTTCTATTGTGAAGTTATCTAAAATCAGAGCTATGCATTCTCAGCAGAGTGAATTATCTAAAACCAATGTCTCTTGCTGTCACAGCCTGGTCAAAGGAGAGTGCAGGAGATTGTCTTACCGGTTGTGATCTGCCCAATACTAAATCCTTCATGGCTCACCACCAACCACGCACAGCTTCGTCGCCTTCACCCCAACTTCATCTGCTGCTTCATGGAGGATATAGATCTCGGAGAGGGAGACAATGAGGGAAATGGACAGAGGAGAGAAGGAGATGATAGAGTGAGAAAGGTGCTCACAACGACCTGAAGTTGGGTGTGGCGGGGATCTTCCGCTCTCGAATATATATAGTGCACTTGAGAAGTGAGCTTATTCTAATAAAGTCAAAAATATATAATGCAATAGCGTCTAAGCCATATATTACTTTTTTGGCTTGCTTTCTATTTTATAGGTAAACTGATATTCGCTTCCATTTCTGTGAATGATTCTAGGAGATCAAGTATCAACAATCAATAGCCTCAATGGTTCATGTTTACCTATAATATCTCTATCCTGCTTGTGTAGTAGTGTTTTGCAACGTGAAGCTTCACCAAATAGTTCTTGTTTACTTTGTTTTTTGTAAATGGTACTTATGCTTGTTGGCATCAGCAAACTCTCAATTCTATGAACCAACATAAATAACGGAAAGGCAAACTCCGAATGGAGCAACAGAAAGTGTAACAGAGCAAGTGTTTTATATGCATTCAGTCTTAACTTGCATGGGCTAACTGAATAATGCGCATTCAGTTTTAATTTGCATGACCTAACTGAATAATGCACAGTAACCAAGAAGTAAATATGCCAAAATAGCTTAAAATATGTAGCAATGTTGCAAAGATCACATATGAGTAATTAACTGTGATTTTCGTATGGCCTGGCAAATACTATTCATTGTCTAAAAAAAATTGTAGCGAGTACTGACTGCAAAGGTAAAACAAGTAAGCTGCCATTGAAGTCTAGAAGATCCAATTGAATTCATAAAATTATACAATTAAGCTTGGAACAGAGGCCTCCACGGATGTATCATGAATTTAATAAAAGTTGAAAAATAAGGACCGGCACAAATTAATTACACACATAATATGGCTCTTACCTTTCCGTAATGTAGATCAGTGATGTGCTGCTAAAGTGGTGAGGAAATCAGGGTGATGAGGATAGAGCAACGTTGTT